CTACTGACTTTTGTGCACTTGTACAAATTAACATTTTTCGGGGGTGCTGAAGTTTTTCATTAATGTGATTCACCCACTTGTTCCTTGTGGTTCTCTTCCGAAGAGCATTTGCAATATTTTTTGGAGCTTGATGAGGGCATTACTGAATCAGTAATTTGCAAGTTACAACTGACCATTATAGTCAGCCTTCAAGATGCAATGATGGGCAAAAGATTAAAATTTTAATGCTTTCTGTCTAATTTGAGTGAGGATAATGTTCCAGTTATTTTATAAAAAGGGAAGCAGGATTTGACTTCCAAAGATGCTTTATATTTTGGATACGGAATCAATACAAAGGTGAGATACACCCAATTTGAATTGGTAAAATATGTAAATCTCCGCCTGCTAAACTGTCAGAGATTAATGTCTGAATAGCAGTAGGAAGCAGAGCCAACTGTAAAATTATACAGGGCATGGCGATTACCCCATCGCATAATGGGGTTTGATTTAGAGGCTCTATTTTGGGTTCACACATAAAGCACCAAATGCAGAAAGCTGAGCTTTGTTTAATTTGTCCAGGGCAGCGCTCTAATTTTCTACAACATTATTCACTTCCCTTTAAGAATGAATAACACATTTTCTTTATGGAATTCTGTGCGTCTTTGATTTGGGAGCAGTGGCTTTCCTTAAGCTCCCCTACTCCATTCCTCTTTTGTTGCTCTTGTATAATGCAACTGAATTGGGTTCCTTTAAGTTGCCTTATTTTGATTGTACTGTTTCTGTAAAGAACAAGCCATATCATTTTGGACATGGGATAGTGTAGTATTGTAGAGTTGACAGATTGGAGAAAATCGAGGCCCAGGAAACACGAGGCCCTGTGGCTCTGGCAGAGCTGGGTTTCACTTCTGGGTCTTTGTAACCCAAGTTAGAGCACTTGCCACCTAAATTAGGGGTCACTGCAGGTACATTGTGTGGCCTTCTCTGAAGACTTGAAACTCATCTCCCCTAGGCAGCAGCTCTGAGGGCTTTATCTTAGACATGAATAACCTGAGGATTATGCTACCTAATTGAGATTATTACTGGGTACTTTATCTTTAAGGCTTTACTTGTTCAAATAAGTACAAGATTCACTTATTTTTTTAAAAAAGATAAGGTTAACTCACATTTCTACAGTTTAAAGTCGCTGAAGTCCTCTTACAATTTTTTGATAGTGACTACATTTTATTTTCACAGGTTATTTTTCATTGCAAGTAGTTTATATTGATAGACTCTTAGTTGAAAGGATCATATGGCTAACTCCAGCTTGCATAAGCAAAAGGGAACATACTGGTTCACATTCTAAGTGTGCCCATGGATGGATCCAACTCAGACACAGCTGGATCCAGGGGCTCAATGGTGTCTGGCTGGGTTTCTCTGTTTCTCAGCTTCCCCTTTGGTGGTCTCAGTCTCAGACTGAATTTGAAGAGTAGGAAAGTCAGCAGCTCAGGACTCACACCCCTCAGTGTATACGTTGATCTCCCAGGAGGACAGAGGTAGTTGGCCAATCTTGAGTTGCCTCTGAACCAGTGCCTTTGGGCAGGGACAGGAGGCACTCAGTTGGTCAGCCTGTGTCACATATTCTTTGGGTCATAATACCAGGGGCAGGGAACCTCATTCCACAATGCAGCATAGAATGGCAGAGAAGTTTCCCACAGGAAGGGATCAGGAGAATGTTCTTGTCAGAAATACTTCCAACTCTTGTCCTTGTACTACCAAACACTTATGATAGCAAACTGGTTACATCCAATGTTAATTTGCTATAAAAGATGTCTTATTACAGCCATGGCAACTCATCATGTAATCTACATTTTATTTCATCTGTTACCTTTCCATTTTCATAGGGGGCAAAAAGGATAAAAGCATTAAAGTGAAAAAAACTTAAAGAAATCATTTCCTGTATTTTACTTTTATGTATTATCTTAGCCTCTCTTATTAGCTGTCCTAAAGAACTCTCCCAGACACGTGGCTCCCCCTCACCATCAGGAGGAACCCTTCCATGCAGAGACTAACATTTGATTTCTGCTCTAGCTGTGCCTGCAACCATACCTGGGTCCACGTAGTTGTTTGGGAAAGGTGGGTGGATGCACAGGTGAGCAATGGCTGGGGAAGCTGGGCTCTGAACAGCTAGGCAGGTGACGTTGCGTAACATGTCACGCAGAGGTGGAATTTGAACTTCTTTATTTTCTTCTCCACAATTAAGGCTTTTTTTTTCTTTCTTTTAACTATTTATTTCTTTTAGTTGGCTCCTGTCAAGTAATCAAGGGGGCAGGATGTGTGCTAGCCCACACTTCCAGTCTCTGTGTGCTTGGGGCTGAGTAAGTGGCTGTGGAATTTGGTCCAATAATTGGACAATGATGATAGGAGACAATCTCAGAACTTATGGGCAGTGTGGGCATCCACCCTCTTGAGAAGGGTGCTGTTTTCAGAGTCCTTTTCAGGAATTTACTTCCTAGCAGAAGTCTGACCTAGATGACCCGTGGTTTCACATTCCTCTTGTTGACTCAGGACCATGTCCCTACTTGTCTTTCCAACCGCTCCCTCCTTACTCTTACTCACCCACTGGCCCTAGTTGCTCTCTCACAGAGGCCGATCACCTTCAGCTCTCACTCTCAGTGATCCACATGGGTCCTCCCAAGCATGCACACCACTTTGCACTCCAAACTCACATCCTCCATCGGAAAGAAATTCAATTAACAGCAAAGCAGAAGCTTCCAGATGCATAAGATGACTTGCCCTTCCTCCATCGCCTCCTTCTTTCCTGCCTGCCCCCACCCTGGCTCCCAGTGCCTTATTAACAAACCAATTCTCTGGGGAATGTAAGAGCAAGTTGCTTTCCCATTTGAAAAGTATCAGAGCTGGCAACTTTGTTTCCTAAAAGGTAGTTATGTCCATCAAAGTTCAACCAGAGAGAAACAGAACTACATGAAGATTTACAGCAAGCTGGCTACAGAGGTGCATGCCTGTCATCCCAGTGGCTCAGGAGGCTGAGGCAGGAGGATCATGAGTTCAAAAACAGCCTCAACAAAAGCAAGGTGCTAAGCAACTCAGTGAGACCCTGTCTCTAGAGAAAACACAAAATAGGGCTGGGGATGTGGCTGAGTGGTCGAGAGCCCCTGAGTTCAATACCTAGTACACTGCTCCCTACCACAAAAAAGATGTATATAAAGAGATTTTTTTTTTTTTTTTAGGAACTGGCCTATGTGATTGTGGGAGCTTATTAGGTAAATTTGAAAACAAAATTGAAGGCAGAGTATCTCAAAATTAAAAAAAAAAAATTAAAAAAGGACTGGGGATGTGGTTCCTGGGTTGAATTGCCACATACATAAAAACAAAATCAGTGTCTTCTATTTGAAACAAAGAAAGAAACAAAAACCTTCTATGAAATGGTCTAAAACATAAAGCCTTTCCTTTTTCCATGAATCTCTTTCTGGAAAAGTCACAGCATTGTTTTCAGTGCAAGTGGCGGCCTGACTCAAGAAAGCAATGTGGGCGGGGAAGGATAGGAAGGATTCCTTCCTCATCTTGCTTCTTAGTACACAATTGACTTCTTCCTGCATTTGGAGAAAGTTCTGGTCACCCAGTGTGGCATCTAGGGGCTCTGGGTGCCCCTCCTTTCTCAGTCACAGGCTTCTCATGCTGACCTTGCATTCATCTTGACTCTTACTGGCTTCCTACCTGCCATGGGTCTATCGGTATTCTATCACTGATTCAAACGGGTGGCAAGAATGGGAAGGTGCAAACGGTGAATATCTCCTTGACTCATAGATGTGTTCCATTGTCCATTAGACCTCACTTGCAACACACAAGTTCAGTGATGAAATTATTCAGAAATTTCAGAAAGTGACATTAAGCCAAAAGCATTAAACTAAGACTGGAGCCCTTCTGAGTGTGAGGCTGTCCTAGAATGGGACTCTGTGAGTGCAAAGGGTGTGTTAAGCCAAGTGTGTGCACACGCATGCATATCTGTTTGTGTGTGTTTGTGAGAATGCACATGTGCTCTTTCAGATAATGTTGACAAGAGGTGACATTTGATCAGGGAGCAAGGAAAATAAGGTTTGCAAATACCTAGGGGCAGGAGCAGCATGTTCAGAGACCCCCAAGGTTAATTCTTGGAAGAATGAGGAAGTCACAGTGGCTGGATCCACAAATGAGAGTGGAAGGGATGGGAGATGAATATAGAGGGACAGTGGGTTTCTGCATTACTGATGGCCTCAAAGGCCAAGAACTTAGGAGTTTTCCATGAAGATATGGGAAGACTTGGGAGAGTGCGAGCAGAGATGTGGCATTCAATGTTTGTGGTTGAGTAGGATATTCTCTGGATGGCAGTGGTCACCAAAGGGACAAAGTTAGAAGTGATGGGACCAGTGTGAATGCTATAATAATAAACCAAGCAATGATGCAGTCTTGGACAGGGTAGTATAGACATGAGTAACTCAGTGTAGCTGGATTCAGGGCATACTTCAAAACAGTGCCACCAAAAGATACTTACCTAAGATCATGGCCCCAAGACATCAGATTATTTAATCTAATGAGAAGTAATGAATTCCTGAAGTTCTACAGCCAGTGCATGCAAGAGCTGGGGACAGCAGAGAGCTGCTTCACCTGTTCTTCTCCTCCTGTGATCCCTGTGGACTTTCCCAAACAGCTCTGCACCATCCCCTTCTGATCATCTTCACGGGTGTGGCTGAATCTACCTGAATTACCTCTTTAGGAATTCATCCATACGACACCTTCGAAAATCTCCTCTGGACCATAAGGTCCTTGGTGCAGATGGTCTCTGCTTAGGGATGGCTCTCTCCCAGTTTTACTTTAGTAGCAACCTGACTGGATTTTGCCCTCTCCATTTAGTTAATATTTCTTGGCCTTGCTCACTAAAACAGAGATAATAGGACAAAGATTTTGCTACTAAGTTTGACATACAGTTGCTCCACATGCAAGTCCAAGCTGCTTACGTGTATGTGGCTTATTTTCCTGTCTTTCAGCACTTTCAGACCATGCTGAAGTCTAAATTGAATGTCCTCACACTGAAAAAGGAACCTCTCCCAGCTGTCATCTTCCATGAGCCGGAGGCCATCGAGCTGTGCACCACCACACCCCTGATGAAGGCCAGGACTCACAGTGGCTGCAAGGTATGGGCATGTGGCCAACAGGGCTTCTCTTGGTGGGACAGGCTCAAGCACGTGTGGCTTTGAGTCTCTTGTCTCACAAGGTAGCCATTTTTAAGAATGCAAATATTAAACAACTAGCAAGACAAGCTCATTGAGTGATGGTAGTATGAATTCATATCCTGCTTTGTTTTTCTTAATAATGTAAATGCTCTTTATTGTTTTGGTCATTTTGGGGGCACACATGAAAAACAGGTCTTGGTGTTTGTGAATACAATGATTTTCTTGCTGTACTTTCTCTAGCTGTATGGAACTTAGGGCTTTGCAAGGGAAATTTAATCTTTAAGGGTAATTCCTCCCTTTGTATTTGCAAACTGAATAAAGCATATCATAAAGAATGAAAACACCAAAACCCCAAAATCAAAAAAAAAAAAAAAAAGTTTCCCCACATTTGTACTCTCAGAGTCCTTTGGTGTAATTTTGCATTTTTGCTTTGCTTCAGCTCTCAAAATCTGTACAAATATTCATGCCTCAATATTCATACAAAAGTATTTTTCATTTACGGAAACTATAATGCTGACATGGAAACAAAACTGGAATATGAAATGTATAATTCTGGTGGGCTTTTGGATTCTTCCTCATAAGTTTTTCTTTCTTGTTTGTGATGGTGAATAGCAATTGGTTTAGAGATAACAAAGAAAATATGTTTTATGCATATTCTTTCATCAGAAATTTGTTCTGAATGATGAAAATATAATAGGGGGCAAGGAGAATACATGATTGCACATGGATTTCTTTTCAGCTTTGCAGATACACTCCTTTCCTTATTCTTATTGTTGGGGAAGCAGGTCTGGAATAGTGGGGATCAGTTGGAGCCCCTCCCTCTTGGGTGATGATGGAGGGCCTGAAGCCTCTCACACATCCATCTGCCTCAGACTTGCTAGGCATCTGCTTTCTGCTAGGCACTGTGGCACACTGTGAGCAAGACCCACAGCAATTTTATGAAGTTTACCTGATAATTGTAAAATGGGAGGAGAGCCAGCGTGAAGAACTTGTGGAAATAGAATAGGGGATGCTCATTTTCTCAGGCAGAAATGGTCTTGGAATGGAGAGGAATGGGCCAGGGTACCTGGGAAGTTGAGAAAAGTGGTGGGTGGGTGGGGTTGGGAAGCCTTGTGGTCAAGGACTTTGCTCTATCTATAGTGAGGAGTCAGGCAAGTGACATCTGACTCCATTTCAAGAAGCTATTTTAATAGTATCCCTGATAAGGTTAAGCTAATAACTCAGGTGCCCAGAGCAGCTGCCAGTGGGTCAGTTTTAAAAGAGGAGAGTGAGTCCACAGAACTGGCCTTAGGTCCTTTGTTTAATGCTTTCAGTGAATTGATGACTTAAAGGTATAAGGAAAAAGTGCTTTCCTTTGGAAAGTGGTACAAGATCAGATTTGCTGTAGATCCTTTAGAAGACTGACCCATGTCATTTTGAATCCTGTTCCTATTAGGGAAATGGAGCCTCAAAGTAAGAACTCAGCAGGGACAAATACAAGGAAGGGAGGTTAATTGGATGAAGCCTACCAAGTGTGTTTTAAAAATTTAAAAAAAAATAGTTAACAGAATAAAAAGACCTAAAATCTAATCCACATAGGAAATTATGAATATGTGTTCACATGAAGACAGATTTGCTAGGAGCACAAAATCAGTGCTTTAGAGTTTAGGATTCAAGAGCTATTTTTTTTTTCTGTGTACTGCCTTAGGTTGTGCTCATTTATATTATGTCTAAAAGGACATTGAAACAAGAGAAGGAATTCAGGATAGCATGCCAAAGAGGGCAGGGGTTGCGCTGGAGTCAGTCTGTGTGGCCACAAGGCAAGGGAATTGGGCACTGATTGCAGCTGGACACAGGGAAGGACTTCAGCGTTCAAGGTGAAAAACACATTTCACCAGGCTGTAAAAAATTTATGAACTCTCCATCCCTAGAAATCATCAAGAGGAGGTGCCTGCAGGCATGGATAATCATAATGCCAGAGTTGGGGATCCACGCCAGTGCCTCTCAAGGTCCAATCCAGCATGATCATTCTATCCGAAGGAAGAAAATCTGCAAAATGTGCAATTCTCCAAATTGGATACAATCAACTTTAGACCTTCAGATTTTAACTGTAAAAATGGACAGGAGTTGCATGCATCCTTTCATTTTTAAGGACACGATCACATTTGTGTTGATCTTTTGTTAGGAAAAAAAAGAAAAGAAAGATCTTCAAACCAATCCATTTTTATTTAAAATCCTTAGACCTCTCCCGATTTTTCCCAGTCATCTTTAAGAACAAAGTCCAGTGTTTCCTCTCTGATTATTGCAAGTAAGTAACTTAGCTCACAAGATGCCAGCTGCAAAGGGACACTCTCTCAGGCTCAGGCGTCCCAGGAATAATGAGCACAATGTAGCCCCGGCCCAGCTGCAGGCCAGCCTTTGGGACCCTCCATCTTTAGACAGAACTTGTTCTTTTTTCCTAAAAGCTCTCAAGTTGTGCTTGTATAACTTTGGGTTTGGGGAGGGAAAGAGGCAGGAAGAAGCAAAGGAAAGTGGAGTTGAATGTGGGTTAGGGTTCGCACCACTGAGACCCTCACTCATCTCGGATTTCCCATTTCCCTCTGATCTGTATTCTCGGTGGGTTCTGGCAGGATCGCCTTGCCAGGCTATTCATGTTTCGGGCAGCTGGGTCTTTGTGTGTTCTCCTCTATTGCTGCCACATTTTTTCCCCTGAAGTGGAGTTACTTAACCATACTACCACTGCATCCCATTAGGACTCTTGCTGGAATGGTTTTGAGAATCAAAAGCTGTGTCAGATTTCACACTAGCAATGATGGCTTGTCACTCTTCTCTCCTGCCTAGCATGGTGGAATCCTAGGTGGCTTCACCTCATTAGCGAACACTTACTAATTAGTACTTGTTGTCAACCTACTGTGCGTGGAAGGAAGAGTAGAGAAGGAAACCAGAGTAGTTTTTGTGGATGATCAATGCACAGCCAAATAGAAGGAATGAGGTGAGTGCCCAGATAAACAAATCACAAGTGTTTTGGAAACTTGTGTGTGTATCAGAATCCCCTGGAAGGCAAATTCCTGGTCCTTCTTCCCACAGCCCTTGATTCAAGCACTCAGCTTCGTGGTGGAGAGCAGGAGTCTGCAGTTTAAAATATACATGTAATTTACATGAAAGTGGGCTGTGCTTGGCTCTTGAGGACTTGAACCACAGACTGGTATGTGATGGGAGTAATAGAAATGACTTAAAAGGACACATGTGCTGGGAGGTGGGGGATGGGGTGGAAAATGGTATCTAAGAACCGAAAATGGTATCTGAGGGCACTTGCATGGTCGCAATGCATTTGCCACAGCAGATCAGGAGACTGCAAGGGGCTCTGCAGGTATTGACACAGATGTGTGCGTCGTGTCACTTTTTTCTCCAGGGAGCATTGTTCTGGTTTACATTGACTCATCTCTGGGTCTGCTCCCCATAGTTGTCAAAGCCTTTGAGAAATAAAGATGAATAAATCATAAATAAAATAGTAATGATGATGATAAGTGGTCCCACTAATAATGCAGAAACAGTGGTAGCAAACAGCTGTTTGTTAATACAGGAAGCACTTTTAAAGCACTTTTCATGGTACGGATTATTTCATCCTCATGACAACCCAGTGGTTTAAGAGCCACATGCAGCCACATTTCACACATCATTTTCTTGAGGCTCAGAGCAGTCTAGTACCTGTTTCAGGGTATTCAGGGAGGAATTAGCAGAGTTCAGTTGGACCCTCAGCAGTCTGACCCCACAGCTCATGCTTGCCCCCACTGGATTCCACTGCCTTTCCAGGACCACCCAGGGGCATCATTTGACCAACTGCATCAGGAAATTTTGAACAAGCCATTTCTGTTCTGCAGACTGCAGTTTCTGTACCCCTTAATAGGCTGGAATCAGTATATCCACCTATATTTTTAAATAAATTATTATTATTTTAATGATACAAATTTAAGAGTTACAGTGTTATAATTTGATATACGTACACATTGCATGATGATTAAATCAAGGTAGTAAATGTTTTCATCTCCTTAAACATTTAAAAATTTTACTAACATGTAGTAATTGTACATGCTTATGGACTAGAGTGTGATGTTTTAATACTTGTCTAGAATGTGTACTGATCAGATTGAATTAATTAATGTTTCTATCACCTTTTCATCAGTCTGTGTTTAGAGCCTTTGAGCATCTCTTTAATATTTATTTATAAAATGTTTAACAGGTTATTATGAACTATGGTCACCCCACTGTCTGTAGAACAATAGAGCTTATTACCTCTAAGTATGTTTGGGTAACTGTTATTCAGGCACCTACCATTCATCCCCTCTTGCCCACAACCTTCCCAGCCTCTTGCAATCACCATTATATAGCCTGGTTGATTTTTTTTTTTAAACATTCACATATGATAGAGAACATTGTCTTTCTGCATTTGGCTTATTTCACTCAACATAATATCTTCCAGTTCCATCCATTTTGCTGTAGGGATAGGATGCCATTGTTTTTATGACTAAATAATATTCCACTATGTATATATGCAAGATTTTCTTTATCCATCCATCGATGGGTATCTAGATTGCTCCCATGTCTTAGCTATTGTGAAAAGTGCAACAGTAAATATGGCGTGTAGATACCTGTTTGATATGCTGAGATCGCTTCCTTTGGATACATACCCAGAGGTGGGAAAGCTCGATCATATATTAGATCTGTTTTTACTTTCTTGAGGATCCTCTCCACCTCTCCATAGTCACTGTACTAATTTATGTTTCAACCAACAGTGTATGAGAGTTCCCTTTTCTCTCCATCCCCACCAGTGTCTGTTATTTTATGTCTTTTTGGTAATATTCATTCTAACTGGGGTGAGATGACTATTTTTTGTGGTTTTGAATTACATTTCCTTGACAGCTAATGAAGTTGAACATTTTTTTTTAATAAACATATTGATCACTTGAATTTCTTTTTTGGGG